ATAATCCTCCTGTCAACGCATTTTGATGTAATAAATCTTCTGGGTTTGTGTGACGCATTTGTGCGAACCAGGACAAGAATAAATGTCGAAGTTAACGTGCGATATTATTTTTGGTGTGGTATACTCCCCGGTGTTCTACTAAGAACAATGTTTGCCGAGGACACTTGCACAACGCATTAAATAAAGTGTAGGTAATATTGCTTACATGTCATTGTAAGTCAGATTATTTGGGAATATCGTGTTAACTTCGAACGTAAATGGCGCATTAATTTAGCAAATACGCATACAAATTAAATATGCATATGATCATGACTTTTATAATCTGTATGGCATACAGAAGATAAGGAAAGTATCTTTTTACAAGTTATTAGAATAAACATTATAGTGACAAATACAAATCTGATACAAGGCGAAACAATGATCATTATGGTCTGTTGTAAAGATTAGCTCTTAAACTTACTGAAAGTATACAGTTATAGCATTGAGACTCACTTCAAAGTTACCAGAGCTGAGGGTGTATACCTTGATGATTAGAGAATCGTCGCACGTTTCTTACAGAAATTCCACTAGGACTCGGATACTGATGGGCCAACCGTTGATCAACAGTTGATCATTGCCGTGAGAATCCCCTGTTGACAAGAACACTCAGCGTGTCAAATTTGTTCGATTTCATTTCAATTAGCAACGCCACAAATTAGTGGCTTCAGTTCTAGAATATGATGACGTCGTGTTCCAAACGAGGACGTGTTAATCAATATGAATATTAAAAAGTAGGCGCCAAAACAGAGCTGACTGGTATAATTGTAGTTTGTGCGCTCTTTGGCCCGCAGTCGACTGAAAATGTGCAATAAAAATAATATTGTTATTGATTGTTGTGTGCAAAATTTCACTTGGTTTTGCATTGTTGTTAAGTTCTCTATACTAAACTAAGTCAGCTAAATATTGAATTTTTACCATTTATTACAAAAATGTAATAGCAGGCCTAGGATTTGTATTTTCATCAAACCACTGGAACTGCATATATTATAAAAGGATACTATTCGCAGCGTGACTGACAGTTATATACAGTTTTGCAGGTCCTCTTTTTTTATTTGAGGATTCCTGTCAATTCAAACATAAATATGTGTGTCTCTGCACATAACAGTTCAATTTCACGTTTCTGGATTCTTGCACTTTATTTGTATCATTATTATATAAGAACTACTCTTAGTGAAGATATGTGATGAACCAGAAAGTAAAGTTGTTTTTACAGGTACTGTACACCAAGGATCATTGCAGTTTCTCAGTTCCTCATCTGGTGCTAGTACTTTTATGACAAACAGTGTCATTGCCCTGTGGTACTGTCTAATATATTAGAGGTTTCTTACTGAAACAGTTCGGCGATTGACAGTGTCTTTGAATTAGGGATACAGTTGTATAGGGAAGTTTATCCAAAAAGACACGACACCCACTCCGACTCTTCTAAATTTTTGCAGATCTCTGATTTGCATACTTCCTATTCATTTTCAAAATGTCATTTTTTCTGTTGTCCTGGTTTGTCACTATCTGGTTTTCTTGCTGAAATTAATGCTGATCAGTATGGAGAGTGCTATAAACTTGAAAATGCAATAGAATTCACGTTTGCCAATTCATGTTCATGTCAAAAACTGATTAAATTATACGTTTCAGTTTCAAACTTCTCAAACAATGCTGCTGGTAAAATATGTAGAAATATACAATTTTTCAAAACATCCTTGTATGATCAGTGAATCACTAGGAATACACACCAGGTTACAGCATGTAGTCTATATAACTTAGTAAAAGATGCTTATTTGTTGAGGAAAAACGGTCTAAGCATGTTGATGTTTCTTTGAAAGGAAATCATTTTCCAATTTTCAGCTGCCCTGAACCAAAAAGGTTTCTAATGTCAAACTTCAATTTGTCTCATTGGAAAATAACTGATCTCTGAACTCATCTGTATTTGCCAGTTCAGAGATGAGAACTTGGCAAATTTGAACTAAGTCCGGATTTTGTCACCTACTAAGAAAAGTGGCCTCCCACTGTATATGAGACTGATGCACCAGTAGTTAACGTTATGCGCATTGGTGCTGCTATTTAATAAATATCCTGAAGCCTGGTAGTGTTAGGACTTTAGATGACTATTCTGAAGATGGTTTTTTCATATATCTGATAGCTGGTTCAGATCAGTTAACTACAATCAAGTAAATTGCGACTACTCCAAAAAATGATGTAAAGTGTAATCGAGGCGGCTCATAGATATGATTTGCAGATACCAGACTTCTTCTCAATGCGGCAGATGCTGTAAATGTTTATACGCATAGTTGAATACAGTTGTGTTATCAACTGCCATGTTCGCTCAATTTGATATCAGTGAATTGTGGTTTGCACAGGGTAAGATATAGATATACATCAGTAGATGTATATATATCATTTTTTTGGCCGTGCTATGACAAGAGCCGAGTTGGGAGTGTGAATGCTTCAGATATATCACTCAAGCATTTTATTAAGTATCATGCAGACACAAGATACACTGCACTATGCAAACGTGTATGATAATCAATAATGTGATTCAAAGGAAGGAAGGGGTATTGAAACAAATTTTATTTTCCATATGATTTGTTAAATCATTGCGCTAAAATTTGCTCTTGAAATACCTTGTATATCCAACATAACCAAAGTGCTCAAGAGTAAGTATACTAATTGTTTTTTTGTGAATTGTCCAATGCGGCAAAAGCTAGTACAGATCTCTGTTGTATTATTGACGAAATGTTCATGTTCAACACCTGTCCTATTGGTGATCACAAGACATTCTATGACTACATTGAATCCTTGTATAAACGCTGGGTAATTCAATTTATTTGGTGCAACAGAAGTAGATGTAGTATCTGATTATGCCAAACGAAATGGTGCGAGTTCTAAGAAAATTGAGACTCAGAAGGGACACTCACAAGGCAGCTGATGAAGATGTTATTTCTTGTGCGAGTCGCTTGCCTCACAGCTGAAAAAAAATTATTTAAGAGATGAGCGAATAATTTAGTATCAGGAACATTTTTGATTATGGGTAAGGTTAGTCTTTTATTCACGCAGGTTGATTTGATGGCGAGAAAACTGCCCAAATAATTTAACGGTGTCAAGGTCACCAAAGTATAATGGAAATCATGAGGGTGATTGTAGAGTATGGTTACATTATGAAGGAACTGGACGTTGGAATGCAGTTGTTCAATGTTGATAAGCCAGCTTATGTACAGCTCAGAGCCAGGGCATGTGATAATCTGTATTTAGATATGAATCGCCTGCATTCGTCACTAGTGGGTGATATAAACCTGCAGGGGGTGTCTCTTTTACACTGTTCTTTACAAATGGTATACATATGGTGGCTGTGACTGTTACATACTTCCGTGGCTTTAGCAAAAAGCTATTTTGGGATACTTTCTACACAAATGCTCAATTTATAACTGGCGAAGATATGTTTAGTAGTCTGTGCAACACAGGTGTTGACTTGTGTAAAACGGATGGACTCTTGTTTTACAGATTTATTGGCTCTGTGTACAATTATGCTGTAGCTTTTAATGCAAGTACACCAGGATTATTTTGCAGTATGTTTGTCAGAACATCATTTACAATTTGTGACCTGTGAAAGTGAAACGCAGTGTCCTGGAGTTGATCCAGAAGATAGCTTAATGCCTTCTGCAGATGGTATGGATTTTCAATGATTCCATAGTTGATGTTAAAATGTAGCGTAATTGCTCTGAAATATCTTGTTATAAATGCAAATTATGTTTATTGATTAACATGTTTACGTCAATTATATTTTTAGGGTTTTATGTACTAAAGTTTCATTGAAATCTCATTGGTTGAAATATTGGTGAAAACTGAGTGCAGGTCTATGCATAGACTGGCAAAGTCGGGACTTCTTTTTGGTTTTAAAAAAAAAATATATATTTAATTGTCAATTTAGCCTTTTAACGCGATTGCGAAAACTAGCGTGACTGCGAAAGAAATCCCAACTGGACGCATCTGCAGGCAACCCCCTGCATTAAAGTGAAAACCGGAGCGGAATCACTCCGGTCATTATGCTAATTAAAATATGTCGACTAGCATTGACAATCGAAGTGCAGGTGTATACGTCATCTTTTATCTATGTTAATGTACGTGACCTTTCACTTCTGAGGTCCTGGCGATTTTGAAAGACTACTTATATACATTGGACATTAAATTGACTTGTTTTCAGTGAACATGGATGAAAGTATCGCCTTTGCATTTAAAAAAGTTTAAGTATCCATCTCTGCGATCGAATCAAACCAACCTTTAAAAGGTCATGTTTACTTCCACACACCCATCATGAATAATCAATACCATGCGTCCAGTCAGGATTTCTTTAGCAGTCAGGTTAGTTTTCGCAATCATGCTAAAAGGACTTAAAACAATTAAATATTTCTTTTTGTAAAACAAAAAAGAAGTCCCGACTTTGCCAGTCTAGTCTATGCATTGTGCCAGACCATATATGCATCAAGTTTCATTTGTAACATGTTAGGTAGTGCAAGTTGATACTGAAATATGTTTGGCAGATCTTTAGATAAATTATTATTATTATGCAGATATTTCAGACTGTGCCATTCAACTTAATTATTCTAACTGCCCTTTGTTGAGACTGGCAACCAACCATCTACAGGGTATGGCAGTAAAGTTTTTTTTTTTTACAGATAACAGAACACCACATAGCAAGATTACCTCTGGGCCAAAATGCATGTAATTTTCAACAAACCAGACCAACATATAGCTTATGTGAGCAATAAATTGGGATGCAGTAATAAAACTGACTTTAAATTTTCCCTTTGCAATAACAAAACCTTTTTTGTCTAGTGTAGACAATTAATGCTAGCAATTGGCCGAGAACAACAAATGCATCTCTTTGAGGACATTTCACAAAAAGAGAGAAGCGAACAATTACTGACACCCCCCCCCCACATATGAAAAAAACACAGTTGTACTAGTTTGACAAAATAGTAATTAATATGCAAATTTATTTATATACAAAATATTTCTTCAGGGCACCTGATGAATAGACATATTTTGATTGGTGAGGTAATGATGTAAGAAGAACATTTTATTATTCTCAAAATCACCGTAGATTTCAGAAATCATTGGCTGTACTCAATGACTGACTTATATATAAATACTGGTAAATATTTCACTGGCAGTGATTCAAAAACTATGCACTGTATATAAAGACGGCTTCATCCACATCATGGTCTTAACTGTCTTTTCCTTCAACATACTGTGCAAGTTCTATCAGTTTAGGAAAGCGTTGTACAACATCTGATTCTTGCTCCAATGTCTACAAATAAAGTGATGAACCATAAATTATTGCTTTAGCAAAACTAATTCAGCCATATATTCACAACATCATCCATAAAGATTGTGATGTCGTATTATTATACAGCTAACACCCGAAACAATAGTATTAGCCAATTTGTGAAAGCTGTATCAGCACTCATTTGAACATTCACATTTTTCCCTGACACAAAGACACAGTATAATTATAATATCATGAGAGTAACGCAAGTATGTACTGTGGCAGTATGGTTTGCATCAACCTCCACTACACAATCAATTACTGCACTGCCTTTATGCATACTTTACCATATTTTCACAATATCAAACTGAAAAGGATGTTAATTTTCATCAAATAGGCTGTGGTATTATTTTAGCCCTTACATACATTTGCATGTACTTCTACATACATGGAACACTACATGTACATGTACTGAATACAGTTTCATGCTTAGTTTATTTTGTTAAAACCAAACGAATTTAACCTACCATTAAAGTCCTAATATAATCAGCATATGTAATAGTAACCACACTACAAATTCTGGCTTCGGGGTTAAAGAGTTCTTAACAAATATTGAAAATAGGAGAAGTGCGTATTACTAACCGCACCCCCAATTCAACAAGACCGTGACTGACTTCATTGTTTCAACCAGCTGGTTCAAAACGACATTGTTCCTAATCATATTTATTTGTTTCGATGACGTGCCTAAAAGTATTCCCACTTATTTATTGTTCAGCAATAATAGGATGCTGGACACGTGATGAAAATGCTTTTGTTTTGGCGGCAACATTTGTCAATACTCCTTATGAATATGTTCGTGTTTCGCAAGTTTTCGACAATTAGCTATTATCACTGTAAAAGTGTTGAATTCTTCATCAATGCTCAGTTTATCTTTCGAAAAAAAATAATTTCTTGATTAAACCAAAAAATCAAAGCCAAAAGATCGCACTACATTATCGGTAAATCTCTTCCATGTTGCGTTCACCATGAAGTCGCTGAACTGTCATTAACATATTTAAATGAGCTATGGTATTTCAAACACGTTGGCACCATCCAGCATTTTGATTGGTTAGTCAGCGACTTGACCTCTCCGGTCAATAAACAGTCTCGTTTACATTCAAAAAACATGGCGGATATCGTATTGCATCGAGCGTTTACATTTGACCAAAGTTGAATTTTACTTGCATTTCATAACAATTCAACAAATTTATTTTTCGTGCGTTAATATAGTAATAATAATCAACAATTTCAACACTTCGAATACAAGTTATTCACATGTGAACCACAACATGGCGGGAAAGCACTACCATACCGTGATCAGTAGCTACTAAGCAATACATTTGTGTCTGTTTTTATTTGAAACTTCTGTTAGAATATACTTTCTGTTAAATAAATGCATATTACATTGAATATACCAAGTAATATTTTTTATCATGTGACAGTTTTTTTGATCGACTATTTTTTCAGCATTTCGTGACGCCAAAGTAAGGCCTTTCACTCTTCCACGATGTCTATATTCAGAGTATTGTTTTGTGCATGTGTTGTGGGGGGAAAAAATGACCACGCCCATTTAGTGATTGCAATATATATGTAATATAAACCGCACCCCAAACTTGAGCTTTTGACCCCAATTTTTAAATTGATACATTGTAATATAAGCTGCGGTTTATATTGGGACTCTAACGGTACTGGCTAAACAAATACGCTAAATTGAAACAGAGTTAAAATTTCCCCTACAGTACTTTACATTGCATCACAGATAATAGTATTTAATTGTGTAGGAACAACAGGAAGAGAGAGGAAAAAAATAGTAATATCTTACTTTGCGAACAACCTCTATCATTTCATCCAGTTTAAAGATTTCTGCTTCTGCGCGTTTCCAGTTCTCTCTTAATGTTGTTGCCTAGAGGTGTCAACAAATGAATTAACATGAAATGTTAAGAAATAACATGTGTTCATAAATTCAATGCTTATTTGTTTTTTGTAGGTACAAGTATATAAATGAGATAAATGATCTTTGTTGCTTCAGTGACAGAGACAAAACTGTGGCGCAGGAGGATGAAGACATTGGTGATGATTAACTGTGTGCACTGCAGTTAATCTTGACCAGTTGCTCACTACAAGATCTTGTAGACATCATAATCAATTTAAGGACGATCAACAGTGACATTGACAAATCTGAATGATGATGAGGGTGACCCTTGCTACGTTCACACGGCAGCATTCTATCGGAGCCAAACTACTGCTCCTCCCACGATTAACAGGAGATTATCTCCAATGCGTTGGGCCGATCAGGAGCCGAGATCTGCCAAAGTTCAATTCAGTTCGATCAGAGCTGAAAGGAACAGTGCCCTTAGTATGAAAACAACATGGCTGAAAAAGGTTTTGGTGTTGTGCTTGTGTTGTTTCTTTACATGGCACGATGCTGTTGAGCTGGGAGAAAAAGTGAAATAGTCACGAGTCTGAGACAATGCACTGGTGTTATGATTTAGGCATCTCAAAAAAAAGGATACACGACAGCTAAAATAAGCTGAATGTGTTACAGCCGATTCACTTAAGTTATTGTCATGTAAAATTACAGTCTTGTAATTGTTCAACTGTTGTGATACGTCTAACAGTTGTCAACCTAGACCGAGTTAAAACATGTCGCCGCACCATGACCGCTTCTACGATTTTTATATTAGGTGTCTTTTATAACTTCATTAATTTCCCATTAGATCTGTTCAGTAGTCTGTTCAAGTTTTTGTTGCATAATTTTGTACGCCATTTTTCTATTTCCAGATCAGCTATCAATCTATCACAGTATTTCTTCCATCGTCCAAATCGCATGGTTCCGTGTCTTTGACCTATTGGCCTCTACACGATACCGTGTAGGATCGCATAGGCAAATTGTGTATCTTAAGCAGTGAGATCTGATTGGGCGCGCCTCAAAACAAGGCGCCAATCAGCATGGACATACCAAATTATAAAACAAAATTCCACTTCCTGTTTTTGTCGCTATGAAGACATCCTTCCCACACAAAACTGTGTTGATTGCCTGTACCAGATGAGGCTTGAGAGCACCAATAGTGTAAACTTTCGCAATTTTATCATCACAAATATCATGGTGCCGCCATTTTGTTTAAAATGAAACGCCAAAGGGGAATTTGTAACACGCAAACTGATTGGACAATGATTAGCCGCAACTGACTACTAGGGGCGCTGTTAGAATACACATATTTGATGGTCGTTCTGTCAAGGTCTGTTTAGAGGCATGGCCGAATAAACTTAATCCTTGGCTAGCAAAGATGTATTTCTTCACTCTGCCAAATAGAGATTAGGGCGGGTACATCTTCGTCAAGCCAGAAATTGTGTGAAATTACAAACAATGTTGTTTCCGCAATAATTGAAATAAGAGCTTACTTGAAGCAGACGATTGAGGGCGTGATTTCGGATCTGATAGTTGGGCCCTCGATGCATATACATGTACACAGTCGGAGCCATGTCGGGGCTCAACCTAGACTGGCACAGTCTGGGCGATTTTTTTTTTTTTTAAATTTAAAAAAAATAAAAAAAAATAAAAAAATGGAGGTGTTAACAGGAAATCTCCTGTAACCGCGAAATCACCCAGACTGGACGTTTTTGTCGCGCCCTCTGTGGTGAAAGTAGGAACTAGTGAGTTTTCATACTAGTTTTTATGTTAATGAGCACAATGACAGACAAGAACGTTATCCAATCAGAGTAATATGACCTTTAAACTATATCTAGTTAACCTTTGTACCTGAAGACTTTTCTTCAAGTTTCTCGATCGTCAATTATAACGAATGAATTACTATTTATAACGTTCTGTACAAATTATTCTAATGGAGAGAAGTAGCCAGTATGTAGCTTTATTGCGCCTGGGTTACAGTGAAGCGTGATCGCCACAGAACACCCACAATGTTTACCTCGTGATCGCCACAGAAGACCCACAATTTTTACCTCGTTATGCAGCGTGCACGCCCCCAATCATTCTCTGTATCCATTCAGTGATGTCACTACATATCATGAATAAACAGATTTTCTGCAAATTAGACCAGTCTATGGTGGTTTCACGTTCACCCCACCTTTCACAAAACTATTTTTTCCAATTATTTTAACTGAAAAAAAATCACCACAGCTGGGCCAGTCTAGGCTCAACCCTATCAGGGTTCAACCCTGAGGGTTTACTGAAGCCGAACTTGGCTCGAACCAAACGCGTATACACTGTCATTTTTGCTGGCTCGAGTTGTAGGGCTCCGATATAATATTCCGTGTGAATGCAGCAACTGACCATGACAAATAGAATATAGCAGAAGAACAAAAGACAACAATCACAGATTTGAGCAACTGAAAGTATCATCCAAGGACATTCTGATGTATTAGCGTTGAGCAAAGCAGGTTGAGTTGTTTCTTTAGCAGCAATAAAGACTGCAGTATGAATAACTGCAGTACGTGTACTTCAATTGACAAATCTATGATTTTCTAAAATGTTACTCACAATATTAGGTAATGATTTAAATGTACATAATGTAATTTAAAATCAAACACAGTTTTTATGAACTAAAATCATTTTGTGTATTTGTGTGTGTGGGTTGGGAAATCTGAAATTCACAGCCTAAATTGACAATATTGTATAACAAGCAGCCTCTCGGCTGAGATAGCTCCGCTGTTATTAGAAAATGAACAATATGTAGACTTGCTGTTTTTAACAAGAATTCAAAAATATCACTTTTCACCAAAAATTACAAAAATAATCATCAAAATTAGATAATTGAAGATATCACCACGAAATTAACAATCTGAAAGAGGTCCACATGTAGTACCTATATATGTAAGATAAAAGCAATCGGACTTGTGGTTTTTAACAAGAAGTCGAAAATATCACTTTTTACCAAAAATGACAAATATATTTATCAAAATTAGAGAATTGAAGATATCATCAAATGAACAAATCTGAGAGAGGTCTACCCATGGTACATATACACCAAGTATCAAAGCATTCAGGCTTATAGTTTTCAAGAAGAAGTCGAACAAGTAAAACATTGACACGGACGACGACAGACAATCACTCATATGATAAGCTCCGCTCGACAAAGTCGACAGCGGAGCTAATAAAGCCAAAGTTGCCTGGATGGCCCATCATAAACAGGTTTGACTGTATGAGTCGGTACTACAACTGAATATATACACAAAATGAAATGACTCACATGTCTAGTAGCTGTAGTGCTCTGTGCTTGATAGTATTCATCTTTTTCTAAGATACTCAACTTCAATCGTTGAACCTGCTCAAGAAAATTGCTTGGTTACAAATTTTTTGATTTCACAATTAAAAACTGCATAAAATTAATCTAGACAAGTCACATTTTAATGACCAAGT